CCCCGGAGGATTCCCCCGAGACTTTCCTAGAGACACACCAGATACAATGTATCAATCTACCCCCCTCCCCCCCCCCCGGGAGGATTCCCCCGAGACTTTCCTAGAGACACACCAGATACAATGTATCAATCTACCCCTCCCCCCCTGGGAAGATTCCCCCGAGACTTTCCTAGAGACACACCAGATACAATGTATCAATCTACCCCCCCCCCCCCGGAGGATTCCCCTGAGACCTTCCTAGAGACACACCAGATACAATGTATCAATCTACCCCTCCCCTCCCCCGGATTCCCTGAGACCTTCCTAGAGACACACCAGATACAATGTATCAATCTACCCCTCCCCCCCCGGAGGATTCCCCTGAGACCTTCCTAGAGACACACCAGATACAATGTATCAATCTACAATACAACGTATACAATCTCAATATCACTTTTAACCTGTTGCTGCCCGAGTGGCATGTGTAGGGCGGTAAAAGGGTCGGCTTTAATGTTCACACGCTGCACATGTGCATCATGGGGCGGCTAAGAGCGCGCTCACTTCCCACTCCCAGCAGAGAGACAGCGCACCGTCCGGCGGGAACAGCTTTGATCACATGACCACTGTGATAGCCAATCACTGGTCAGAGCGTTTTAAAGGACCACCGGGACTGGCAGGAAGGATGCAAACCCGAATCACAACTCCGGCCTCCCCTCCCGCCTTGCACAGGTGTACCGGCTCCTCCCCTCCCCGCCTTGCACAGGTGTACCGGCTCCTCCCCTCCCGCCTTGCACAGGTGTACCGGCTCCTCCCTCCCGCCTTGCACAGGTGTACCGGCTCCTCCCCTTCAGTCTTGCACAGGTGTACCGGCTCCTCCCCTTCAGTCTTGCACAGGTGTACCGGCTCCTCCCCTTCAGTCTTGCACAGGTGTACGGCTCCTCCCCTTTAGTCCTGCACAGGTGTACCAGCTCCTCCCCTCCCACCTTGCACAGGTGTACCGGCTCCTCCTCTTCAGTCCTGCACAGGTGTACTGGCTCCTCCCCTTCAGTCTTGCACAGGTGTACTGGCTCCTCCCCTTCAGTCTTGCACAGGTGTATCGGCTCCTCCCCTTCAGTCTTGCACAGGTGTACTGGCTCCTCCCCTTCAGTCTTGCAAAGGTGTACCGGCTCCCCCCCTTCAGTCTTGCTCAGGTGTAGAGACTCCTCCCCTTCAGTCTTACACAGGTGTACTGGCTCCTCCCCTCCAGTCTTGCACAGGTGTACCGGCTCCCCCCCTTCAGTCTTGCTCAGGTGTAGAGACTCCTCCCCTTCAGTCTTACACAGGTGTACTGGCTCCTCCCCTCCAGTCTTGCACAGGTGTACCGGCTCCTCCCCTTCAGTCTTGCACAGGTGTACCGGCTCCTCCCCTTCAGTCTTGCACAGGTGTACGGCTCCTCCCCTTCAGTCTTGCACAGGTGTACCGGCTCCTCCCCTTCAGTCTTGCACAGGTGTACCGGCTCCTCCCCTTCAGTCTTGCACAGGTGTACCGGCTCCTCCCCTTCAGTCTTGCACAGGTGTACGGCTCCTCCCCTTCAGTCTTGCACCGGGTGTACCGGCTCCTCCCCTTCAGTCTTGCACCGGTGTACCGGCTCCTCCCCTTCAGTCTTGCACCGGTGTACAGCTCCTCCCCTTCAGTCTTGCACAGGTGTACCGGCTCCTCCCCTTCAGTCTTGCACAGGTGTACGGCTCCTCCCCCGGACTAGAATATCTACCTCTGATGTCACTGCACACTGGGTGTTTCTCACAATGTGCATTAGAAGCTGCAGCCAGTCAGATAGAACTCCGCCTCCTTTCCTGACTGGAGGATGTCCAGCACCATCTAACTCTTTCCTCCTCAGCCTGACTGTGCCTGGCCCCACCCCTTTCATTCACTGGATTTCAGTTCTGTCAATTTTGAAGGATCAGCATCACATGTGGGTGTTGCCTATGCAAAAATATCCTGGCTAAGAACGCCCCCACTCCTCCAGACTGGCACTCACCCATACAGATATTTAATATTTGCATAACTCCTCCCACTGCTTACATCAGGACTGAGGACTCTTGGGAGGAGTACTGAGTGCGGTGTTGCTTTCAGGAAGCTAATATACAGCTCCCTGCTGGCCCCTCCCACCAGCCATGACTTGCCAGCATTACATAGAGAAGCACAGAGCCCCATCATTGGGTTTAAAATAAGGTAATGAAAAACGGAAAAGGTTTACAGAAAAATGTCATCAGCATGTGTTATGGGACGAATCAGGGAGGATGATTTATAGTGTATATATATATATATATATATATATATATAAATTATATACACACACATTTCAAATATATATAAATATCGGGGTGTGTGTAGATATATTATTGTTTTATTATTTATATATATTAATTTTTTTTTATTATTATTTATATTTTTTTTTATTATTTATATATATATATATATATATATATATATATATATATATATATATAAAAAAGAATAAAAAAAAATATATAAATAATAATAAAAAATTATATAAATAATAATAAAACAATAATATATATACACACACATACATACATAATATACATACATACGCACACACCCACATATATATATATACACATACATACATACATAATATACATACATACGTACACACCCACATATATATATATATATACACATACATACATACATAATATACATACATACGTACACACACACACACACACATACATACATACATAATATACATACATACGTACACACACACACACATACATACATAATATACATACATACGTACACACACACACACATACATACATAATATACATACATACATAAATATACATACATACGTACACACACACACACACACACACATACATACATAATATACATACATACGTACACACACACACACATACATACATAATATACATACATACGTACACGCACACACATACACACATAATATACATACATACGTACACGCACACACATACATACATAATATACATACATACGTACACGCACACACATACATACATAATATACATACATACGTACACACACACATACATACATAATATACATACATACGTACACACCCACATATATATATATGACTGCTGGTCAGAAGAGGTGCGGCAATGCGATGGATTCCTTGTATTCTGTATATAAATATAGATTTTTTTTTGTTTTGTTTACTTTTCCATCTTTTTTTTCACACTACAGATCTTGATCCAAAAAAGTGCCGCACTTCCTCGGCTCAGGAACTTGGGAAGTAGTCCGCTGCGCCTCACTTCACCGGCAGAGCGGAGTAATAAAAGATATATGCGCGGCCCATAAAGGCGTGATTTCTGCCTATCCAGCAGGTGCGGGGAGAGGTGTTGCGGTCCCTCCGGAACATTCGGCAGTTATCCTCGCCGTCAGCCATAAAGAGGGCCAAGCAAGTGCGCTTAGAGCCCGGTCTCCCCCCGCCGCTGCATTTTCTGCTCATTACCCGGCGCGCTACGGTGAGAGCGGATCGATGCTAAAAGCTACTCGGAGAACATTGGCCTATTTCCTAGCGGCTTCCTGTGTGGAATCGCTGCGCCGCACATGTGCTCATCTGTCTTACAACTGACAACGCACTTCCAACGACTCCCATGGCGGTCGCTGCGAGGGGCTGGACTAGAATATGCAGCTGTAATTATCACTCTCTTCATCGCTCTGCGCAGCTTGTAATTTGTCAGGCAGAGCAAAAAGCATGCCAGAGCTGAAAAGGCAAAATGGGCTCCGGGCAGATTCTTACAGAAGGCTGCTCCGTGGTTTATGGCCCTCGGGGGAGCTGAGGGCTGTGCTGAGGGCTGTGCGATGTCAAGCCCTTATCCGGGTACAGCCGTACCAAAACCAAAGTGCTGCCAATCCCATGGATTCCTATTCCATTGGCGGAACATCTATGGCCGCAGCTCAACAACCAGCCTGCCTTGGTGTAGATGGCACCAGCTTCCAGATATCTGAGGGCTGAGCGATTACCAGGCCCTTATCTGGGTGCAGCCGTGCCGAGAGGGACTGCTGGTTAGAAGAAGTGCTGGCAGTGCCATGGATTCCTATTCCATTGGTGGAACATCTATGGCCGCAGCTCAACAACCAGCCTGCATTTGTGCTGAAGATTTCAGATAAGGGCCCAACCATCTATAGAGCTGAGGGCTGTACAATGCCAAAGTCCTTATCGGAGTACAGCCATCCCAAGACTGATTATTAGAAGAAGTCGGCAATGGCATGGATAACTATTCTGTTACCAAATCAATGGCTGCAGCTCAACAAGCAGCCTGCCTTCGTGTAGATGGTTGAAGCATCCAGATAACGGAGGGCTGTGTGTTGTTGAAGCCCTTATCTGTTACAGCGGTGCTGAGACTGATTGTTAGATGAAGTGCTGGCAATGCCATGATAACTAATCTGTTACCAGAGCATCAATGGCTGCAGCTCATCAACTGTCTTCGTACGGATGATTTCAGACGAGGGTTGGAGCCTCCAGAGAGCTGAGGGCTGTACAATGTTGAAGCCCTTATCTGAGCACAGTGTACTGGGATGGGCTGCTTGTTGGAAGACATGCTGGCAATGCCATGGATACCCATTTCATTACAGAGCACCTATGGCTACAGCTCGACTACCGTCCCAGCCTTCGTACAGATGATTTCAGATGAGGGATGCAGCCTCCAGAGAGCGGAGGGTGTGTGATGTTGAAGCCCTTATCTGAGTCTGCGGAGACGGGCTGCTTGTTAGAAGAAATGAAATGCATTGGATACCTCTTCCATTATCTATGGCTGCAGCTCAACGACCAGCCTGCCCTACTACAGGTCCAGAAAAGGGCTAAAATAACTGTGTGTGTATGTATATATCCATCCATATCCACATATACACATACACTATACCGCCCTCCATATCATGTGATTCAGGTGTTCCAATCCCCTCCCAATCATGTGATTCAGGTGTTCCAATCCCCTCCATATCATGTGATTCAGGTGTTCCAATCCCCTCCCAATCATGTGATTCAGGTGTTCCAATCCCCTCCCAATCATGTGATTCAGGTGTTCCAATCCCCTCCCAATCATGTGATTCAGGTGTTCCAATCCCCTCCCAATCATGTGATTCAGGTGTTCCAATCCCCTCCCAATCATGTGATTCAGGTGTTCCAATCCCGTCCATATCATGTGATTCAGGAGTTCCAATCCCCTCCATATCATGTGATTCAGGTGTTCCAATCCCCTCCATATCATATGATTCAGGTGTTCCAATCCCCTCCATATCATGTGATTCAGGTGTTCCAATCCCCTCCATATCATGGGATTCAGGTGTTCCAATCCCCTCCATATCATGTGATTCAGGTGTTCCAATCCCCTCCCAATCATGTGATTCAGGTGCTCCAATCCCCTCCATATCATGTGATTCAGGTGTTCCAATCCCCTCCATATCATGTGATTCCGGTGTTCCAATCCCCTCCATATCATGTGATTCCGGTGTTCCAATCCCCTCCATATCATGTGATTCCGGTGTTCCAATCCCCTCCATATCATGTGATTCAGATGTTCCAATCCCCTCCATATCATGTGATTCAGGTGTTCCAATCCCCTCCATATCATGTGATTCAGGTGTTCCAATCCCCTCCATATCATGTGATTCAGGTGTTCCAATCCCCTCCATATCATGTGATTCAGGTGTTCCAATCCCCTCCATATCATGTGATTCAGATGTTCCAATCCGCTCCCAATCATGTGATTCAGGTGTTCCAATCCCCTCCATATCATGTGATTCAGGTGTTCCAATCCCCTCCATATCATGTGATTCAGGTGTTCCAATCCCCTCCATGGACACAGGTGTATACAATCAAGCCCCTAGGCATGCAGATGGCTTCCACAAACATTGGTGAAAGAATGGGTCGCTCTCAGGAGCTCAGTGACTCCAAGCGTGGTCCCGTGATAGGTGGCCACCTGGGCAATAAGTCCATCCGTGACATTTCCTGGCTACTAAATATTCCACGCTCAACTGTTAGTGGGATTATAACAAAGTGGAAGCCACTGGGAACAACAGCCACTCAGCCACCAAGTGGTAGGCCACGTCACATGACAGGGCGGGGTCAGCGCATGCTGAAGCGCACAGTGCGCAGAAGTCACCAACTGTCTGCAGAGTCAATAGCTAAAGACCTCCAAACTTGGTGTGGCCTTCAGATGAGCCCAACAACAGTGCGTAGAGAGCTTCATGGAATGGGTTTCCATGGCTGAGCAGCTGCATCCAAGCCTTCCATCACCAAGTGCAATGCAAAGCGTTGGATGCAGTGGTGTAAAGCATGCCGCCACTGGACTCTAGAGCATGGAGGCGTGTTCTCTGGAGGGACCAATCATGCTTCTCTGTCTGGCAATCCAATGGAAGTGTCTGGGTTTGGCGGTGGCCAGGAGAACGGTACTTGCCTGACTGCATTGTGCCAAGTGTAAAGTTTGGTGGAGGGGGGATTATGGTGTGGGGGTGTTTTTCAGAGGTTGGGCTTGGCCCCCTAGTTCCAGTGAAGGGAACTCTTAAGGCGACATTTTGGACAATTTCATGTCCCAACTTTGTGGGAGGAGTTTGGGGATGGCCCCTTCCTGTTCCAACATGACTGCCCCCCAGTGCACAAAGCAAGGTCCATAAAGACATGGAGGAGCCAGTTTGGGGTGGAGGAACTTGACTGTCCTGCACAGAGTCCTGACCTCAACCCCATAGAACACCTTTGGGATGAATTAGAGCGGAGACTGCGAGCCAGGCCCCCTCCCCCGACATCAGTGCCCCTCCCCCGACATCAGTGCCCCCTCCCCCAACATCAGTGCCTGACCTGACAAATGTGCTTCTGGAAGAATGGTCCAACCTTCCCATAGACACCCTCCTAAACCTTGTGGACGGCCTTCCCAGAAGAGTTGAAGCTGTTATAGCTGCAAAGGGCGGGGCCAACTCAATATTGAACCCTACGGACTAAGACTGGGGGGCCATTAAAGGTCATGTGTGTGGAAAGGGCGGGGCCAACTCAATATTGAACCCTATGGACTAAGACTGGGGGCCATTAAAGGTCGTGTGTGTGGAAAGGGCGGGGCCAACTCAATATTGAACCCTATGGACTAAGACTGGGGGCCATTAAAGGTCGTGTGTGTGGAAAGGGCGGGGCCAACTCAATATTGAACCCTATGGACTAAGACTGGGGGCCATTAAAGGTCATGTGTGTGGAAAAGGGGTGGCGGCCCAATACTTGGGGCAATATAGTGTATATATGGGGGGGGGGACAATACTTGGGGCAATATAGTGTATATATATATATTTATTTTCCCATCATGCCCGGTACTGGATCTTTCTAGTATGTGAAGGTTTGGCTTGTAATTGCCAATAAGTGCTTTGAAAGGAGACCTTTTGTACAGCTACAGCGTCAATGAAGTCCGAAATGCTCCAAGTCAGAGGCGGCGCGGTCGGTGTAACAATTCGGAAAGTCGCAGGAATCTGGCAAATGGTCAGAATCTTATGATGAAGTAAAAAGTGTCATTGGATTAGAAGTAACGAGGATAAAAGTTTATGTTTGGGATAACGGCGGGAAGGATTAGAACCTGTCGGGTGTTTATTGGCTCTTCATGACATTTCAGCTCAATTTTTGTGAAATAAGAGATTTCCCCAAACAGGAGAAGAACCCCAAAACCTACAGAGATAGAAAAGCGAAAGAAAAGAAAAAAGGGAAAGAACAAAAGAAAGAGGGAAAGACAGCGAGAGAAAGAAAAAGAGAAGGAAAGTAGAAGGAACCCCCCCCCCCCCCATACACACATTCTATATACTCCACCAGATGACTATATCTTTCCGCCACAATGTGGCCACTCAGAGGAAAGTGAATCCCCTCCTCCACGGTAATGGCGGCTCTCTGGATGGGTTCTTCAGGGTTTGGGGGGGTAGATCCCTGCGGAGCATTAGAGGCTGCGGTGATGAAGTGGCTGCACTTACAGGCCAGGCTGCAGTGTTTGTGTTTAATAATCTCGGCGGGTCGGCCAATATTCATCTGCTGGGGAATTAACTGCAAAGACCTCTCAGCCTCTCGGATGCTCTCAGCGCAGAACCCTCTCCTCTCCTCCTCCCTGCAGACCTCTAATGAGCTCAGGAAATACAATTCTCCATGTTCCTCACCCAGGATCCATCATCTGTACATTTCCAGCCATATCCATCAAGATCTTCGGTGCTTTCCTCCAGCAACTGTCAGGGGTGCACATGCTTACTGTCAGGGGTGCACATGCTTACTGATAGGGGTGCACATGCTTACTGTCAGGGGTGCACATGCTTACTGTCAGGGGTGCACATGCTTACTGTCAGGGGTGCACATGCTTACTGACAGGGGTGCACATGCTTACTGACAGGGGTGCACATGCTTACTGTCAGGGGTTCACATGCTTACTGACAGGGGTGCACACATGCTTACTGACAGGGGTGCACATGCTTACTGACAGGGGTGCACATGCTTACTGACAGGGGTGCACATGCTTACTGACAGGGGTGCACATGCTTACTGACAGGGGTGCACATGCTTACTGACAGGGGTGCACATGCTTACTGACAGGGGCAAAGCATAGGACACCAGAAAAGGGAAGGGAATGAGAAAACCTGCTGATCATACAAGAACCCAAAGGCTGACTCTTCAATCACAATGGGATTGTAGAAGGAAAGGAACCTCATGCAGCGATCACTTGGCCTCTTCTCCATAGGTAAGGGGGTGACTGCCCATTGGTCACAATGGCTTCCTGAAGGCACCATTACAAGGTCCAGCCTTGGCTGAGCAAATCCGGAGCCTCTCTCACCTTTACTGAGCTAGGGACGGCTAGTAACAATTTGCAGAATGGCGCACAGGTTCTGTATAAACAGGTACACTTGGTGTCTATGGTGTCCACCCAGCAGAAGCGATAGTGATGGCCAGGGGTGGACTGACAACTCATGGGGCCCCTGGGTAATAGGGGATCATGGGGCCCGTGTCCTCACCTACACCCAAAAAAGCCTATGAAAAAGCCAATGAAAGGTACCAGGGGCATCTCATGGGGCCCCCTACTGACCCTGGGCCCTGAGGCAGTGCCCGAGTGTGCTCGAATGGTCAGTCCACCCCTGGTGATGGCACCTCTTCCAGGTCCAGCTTTCCTAACCATTAAGTGAATCAGGAGGATCTTTGCAAGGCCCAGCTATGGCAGGCATTGAGTGAACCAAAAACCTTCCTTCATCTTTACTGGGCCAGGGATGGACAGATATTCCCTCTTAGATTGTCAGCTCCCAGGATCAGCCCCTCCCTCTTAGATTGTCAGCTCCCAGGGATCAGCCCCTCCCTCTTAGATTGTAAACTCCCAGGATCAGCCCCTCCCTCTTAGATTGTCAGCTCCCAGGATCAGGCCCTCCCTCTTATATTGTAAACTCCCAGGATCAGCCCCTCCCTGTTAGATTGTCATCTCCCAGGATCAGCCCCTCCCTCTTAGATTGTCAGCTCCCAGGAGCAGCCCCTCCCTCTTAGATTGTCATCTCCCAGGATCAGCCCCTCCCTCTTAGATTGTCATCTCCCAGGATCAGCCCCTCCCTCTTAGATTGTCAGCTCCCAGGATCAGCCCCTCCCTCTTAGATTGTCATCTCCCAGGATCAGCCCCTCCCTCTTAGATTGTCAGCTCCCAGGATCAGACCCACCGTCTTAGATTGTAAGCTCCCAGGATCAGGCCCTCCCTCTCAGATTGTCAGCTCCCAGGATCAGGCCCCTCCCTCTTAGATTGTAAACTAGCAGGATCAGGCCCTCCCTCTTAGATTGTAAGCTCCCAGGATCAGCCCCTCCCTCTTAGATTGTAAACTCCCAGGATCAGGCCCCTCCCTCTTAGATTGTAAGCTAGCAGGATCAGGCCCTCCCTCTTAGATTGTAAGCTCCCAGGATCAGCCCCTCCCTCTTAGATTGTAAGCTCCCAGGATCAGCCCCTCCCTCTTAGATTGTAAACTCCCAGGATCAGCCCCTCCCTCTTAGATTGTAAACTCCCAGGATCAGGCCCTCCCTCTTAGATTGTAAGCTCCCAGGATCAGCCCCTCCTAACTCTCTAGTATTGATCTGTATTGTCTCCCGTTATATTGTACAGCGCTCAGCAAAGTGTTGGCGCCATAAATCCTGTATAATAATAATAATAATATAAATCCTGTATAATAATAATAATTTTCCCAGAAGAAGTCACATTCTAGATGAGTCTGCCGGCTGGAATCTGGACCAATCCTCCTCACAGACACACCATGAGATGACCGACAATGAAATGAACCGAAACCCCAAAGTTTCAAAAACCGATGAAGAAACGGCGCCCCTAGTGGTAGAGACCTGAAGCGGAAAGCCTTAATTTCTCTTCTACTCAAGAAGGGCCAATCTAAGCGAATGTCCAGCTCTGGGAGGACGTGTGTATTGTGAATAGGCCCTCCTCTTCCTTGCCCCCTCCCCCGGCTTTTACCATTTCATTGACTTTTACAATAGGAAGGCTGGAGCAAACAGGACCCGGCTCCTCCTCCTGCAAAGGCCAGACACCATGGCAGTGGAAATGGTGGAGTTCCAAAGCTGCAGATAACATCATCAAATGTGTCTCTTGGATAGAACATCCAATATGTCCCCATTCATTACAATGAGCCAATCCTGTGCTTTGATCATACAAGGCAAAGCATTCACACAACCGCGCTCCTTTGCAGCTTACACAAGGCTAAGGGCCCCCCCCCGTGTGATTGGTGGTCGGGTACCCAAACAGCCACATCACAGACGGGGGGGGCTCACCACTCGCTCACACACGGATCAAAAGCTTTGTGGTTCCCACCAGCAAGTGACAGGAAGACCGCCACCATCTGGTCCTGCCCCGGCCACACACTACTGAGCATGTGCAACACTCTACAGATCATTGGCCTTCAGGTGGCCCCCTCTTAAAGTGTAACATGACAAAGAACAAAATACTGTAAGTGCTTTCAGTCTTAATTGCCGATTGTTTCATCCTGTTTCTGTGTCCATTTAGTATGCATAAATACTTAAGAACTGTTCCAGAGATCCCCATCTTCAATCATTTCCTCTATGCCTGTGCCTACAACTCATTCTGTTCTTTCAATATCCACCCTTTGTAGATGTACCAAGAGTAAGTGATGACGAGTGATCAGCCCAAATGGAAGAACACATCCCCAGCATCCCTTTAGACAAGCATGTTGGTCACTGAATGGGGCAGAATGAAGCAGCACTGACCAGTTGCTAGGTTACTAGAAGTAGGTCTGATAGAACATACTCAAGCAACTGATTTGCAGACTGCATAGCTAAAGTCCATTTGCCAGTTTCCTGGAATATGCACATCTAAAGGGTGTCCAGGGATGTGTTTTTTCACAATTTCTGGAACATGCACATCTAAAGGGTGTTCAGGGATGTATTCTTTAACATTTGCTAAAACATGCATATCTAAAGGGTATCCAGGGATGTATTCTTTCACGTTTGCTGAAACATGCATAACTAAAGGGTGTCCAGGGATGAATTATTTCGCGTTTTCTGGAACATGCATATCTAAAGGGTGTCCAGGGATGTATTCTTTCACATTTGTTGGAACATGCATATCTAAAGGGTGTCCAGGGATGTATTCTTTCACGTTTTCTGGAACATGCATATCTAAAGGGTGTCTAGGGATGTATTCTTTCACATTTGTTGGAACATGCACATCTAAAGGGTTTCCAAGGATGTATTCTTTAATGTTTGCTGAAACATGCATATCTAAAGGGTGTCCAGGGATGTATTCTTTCACATTTGCTGGAACATGCATATCTAAAGGGTGTCTAGGGATGTATTCTTTCACGCTTTCTGGAACATGCATATCTAAAGGGTGTTCAGGGATGTATTCTTTCACGTTTGCTGGAACATGCATATCTAAAGGATGTCCAGGGATGTATCTTTTCATGTTTTCTGGAACATGCATATCTAAAGGGTGTCCAGGGATGTATTCTTTAACATTTGCTGGAACATGCATATCTAAAGGGTGTCCAGGGATGTATTCTTTCACGTTTGCTGGAACATGCATATCTAAAGGGTGTCCAGGGATGTATTCTTTAACGTTTGCTGGAACATGCATATCTAAAGGGTGTCCAGGGATGTATTCTTTAACGTTTGCTGGAACATGCATATCTAAAGGGTGTTCAGGGATGTGTTCTTTAACGTTTGCTGGAACATGCATATCTAAAGGGTGTCCAGGGATGTATTCTTTAACGTTTGCTGGAACATGCATATCTAAAGGGTGTCCAGGGATGTATTCTTTCACGTTTGCTGGAACATGCATATCTAAAGGGTGTCCAGGGATGTATTCTTTCACGTTTGCTGGAACATGCATATCTAAAGGGTGCCCAGGGATGTATCTTTTCACATTTGCTGAAACATGCACATCTAAAGGGTGTTCAGGGATGTGTTCTTTCAGCCCCCTGCTGGCCCATCCCAGCAGCCATGATCTGCATAGAGAAGCACAGAGACCCAGTGACACCTAAAACAAGGCAAGTCATAAAATATAAACTTTTTTTTAAACCTTATTAAAGCGCTGATGTTGGGTGGAAAGGACAAACCAGGGAAGGCAAAATATATTACCCCCCCCCCCCCCCCCCCCCCCCCCCCCCCCCTCCTCCACATGATCCAAAGCCAGGGAACAAAGTTTTGACTTATATACACTTTAACATTTCCTGTTTCAGCTGCAACATTGTAAAGAAAAGTCGTCGTCTCACCTTTTGTATCTTTTGTCTGGTCCTGTAGCGCCAGGTCGGCGAGCTCGCTGAGTAGAGCAATCCCATGGATCCCTGAGCTGGAGGGTACGGAGGACGTGTGGGCCGGAAAGAAGGAGCCCTCGTCCTCCTCTGAGGGCAGATCCCCCAGGGAGATACTGGCTGCTATCAGACTTTCCAGGTTGTAGAGGGGCTCCTGGTGGTCGCTGACCGCCGGTGAACAAGGTGCGGTAGATGTGAATAGCTCCTCCTCCTCCACCTGAGTTTTCTCCCGTCTCCAAATCTTTTGCCACATCCTGTAACAATGCCTGATCCACATCATCGCCCTTCCCGTCCTCCTCGGCAATGGGGGCAGCGGGTGACCCCTCTGAAATATTTGGCAACTGTTCCTCCGATGCGTCCTGAAAGCCACAACCATCGTCGGGCCCCCTCATCTCCTCCACCAAGGCGTTTTCGGATTCCACTTGTTCCTCCTCCTCTATGTCCTCCTTAGGCTGGTCCAGGCTCTCACCAATGGCGGCAGCGGAGCAGTCGGGGTCTTGGGGGCCGGGGTTTCTTGGCTACATAGCTCACTCAGGTCCGTCTCCCCTAAACGGGGCAAGTCGTCGCTGGCCTCCAGCGGGTCCTCTACGATGGGTGTGCTGCAGGGGGATTTTTTGGAGGGTGTAAACGTTCTGGACTGCTCGGGTTCCGCCGCCGTGGATGCCGTTTGCATAGTTTCGGTGTCAGCGGGGTCCGCGGAGTGCACGTGGTGGGGAGACGGAGAGGTATAGGACTGGACAACATCTGGATAGGTGTATCCGGGAGGCAGATCTGCAGAAACATAAAACGTCAATAAGATTCTCCTTTTACAAATAATACTTTTTAATTTTTTTTACTTCTTTTGGTATTTTAGACTCATGCCTTTAAAGCTGAACTTCAACAACAAAAACTTTATCTAAAAATGTTCACAGCCGGGCCACCAACCTTAACCAGGGAAGGAGCGACACGTGAGGGAGCTGGTCACCTACATAAGGGCACTTATTGGAGAGGAGCTAAAGGTTTAAATTGGCCAATTTCAGTGATTTTAACATCAAAAAATGGAGATTTCCTTTCTGTCATTGGCTTCAAAATAATTGCTGACCCTTTATGACTGCAAGTTGGTCCCGGGGTCAAGGCCTTGGAGGACACCATAGCCATGGATTGCCATAGCGTTCTGAGATGGTGGTCAGGGTTGGAAGCCTAGGCGTCTCTTAGAGCGGGTTTTATTTTAATGAATTTGAAGGCCCAAGGTCTGTCCTAGAACCATGCAGCATTCTACACCGCAGCTGGACCACCACCTTGACCAGGGAAGGAGCTACAAGAGAGAGCTGGTCATCTATTCACACCACAGCTGGACCACCGCCTTGACCAGGGAAGGAGCTACAAGAGAGAGCTGGTCATCTATTCACACCACAGCTGGACCACCGCCTTGACCAGGGAAGGAGCTACAAGAGGGAACTGGTCATCTATTCACACCACAGCTGGACCACCACCTTGACCAGGGAAGGAGCTACAAGAGGGAGCTGGTCACCTACACAATTTATAAGGGCACTTATTGGAGAGGCGCTAAAGGTGTCAGTTGGCCAATTTCAAAGATTTTAACATCGAAAAAATGGAAATTTCCTGTCATTGGCTTCAAAATAATTAATTGCTGACCCTTTATGGCTGCAAGATTGTCCCGGGGTCAAGGCCTTGGAAGACACCATTGGATTGCCATAGCGTTCTGAGATGGTGGTCAGGGTTGGAAGCCTAGGCGTCTCTTAGTGCGGGTTTTATTTTAATGAATTTGAAGGCCCAAGGTCTGCCCCAGAACCATGCGGCATTCTACACCGCAGCTGGACCACTGCCTTGACCAGAGAAGGAGCTACAAGAGGGAGCTGGTCACCTACACAATTTATAAGGGCACTTATTGGAGAGGAGCTAAAGGTTTAAATTGGCCAATTTCAGTGATTTTAACATCAAAAAATGGAAATTTCCTTTCATTGGCTTCAAAATAATTCATTGCTGACCCTTTACTGCTGCAAGTTGGTCCCGGGGACAGGGTCTTGGAAGACACCATTGGATTGCCATAGCGTTCTGAGATGGTGGTCAGGGTTGGAAGTCTAGGCGTCTCTTAGTGCAGGTTTTATTTTAATGAATATGAAGGCCCAAGGTCTGTCCCAGAACCATGCAGCATTCTACACCGCAGCTGGACCACCACCTTGACCAGGGAAGGAGCTACAAGAGAGAGCTGGTCATCTATTCATAGTTTGTAAGGGGCACTCAATACTAGAGAGGAGCTAAAAGGCCAATTTCAGTGATTTTAACATCAAAAAATGGAAATTTCCTTTCTGTCATAGGCTTCAAAATAATTGCTGACCCTTTACTGCTGCAAGTTCGTCCCGGGGTCAAGGTCTTGAAGGACACCATAGCCATGGATTGCCATAGCGTTCTGAGATGGTGGTCAGGGTTGGAAGCCTAGGCGTCTCTTAGAGCGGGTTTTATTTTAATGAATTTGAAGGCCCAAGGTCTGTCCTAGAACCATGCAGCATTCTACACCGCAGCTGGACCACCACCTTGACCAGGGAAGGAGCTACAAGAGGGAGCTGGTCACCTACACAATTTATAAGGGCACTTATTGGAGAGGAGCTAAAGGTGTCAGTTGGCCAATTTCAAAGATTTTAACATCGAAAAATGGAAATTTCCTGTCATTGGCTTCAAAATAATTAATTGCTGACCCTTTATGGCTGCAAGATTGTCCCGGGGTCAAGGCCTTGGAAGACACCATTGGATTGCCATAGCGTTCTGAGATGGTGGTCAGGGTTGGAAGTCTAGGCGTCTCTTAGTGCAGGTTTTATTTTAATGAATTTGAAGGCCCAAGGTCTGCCCCAGAACCATGCAGCATTCTACACCACAGCTGGACCACCGCCTTGACCAGGGAAGGAGCTACAAGAGGGAACTGGTCACCTATTCATAGTTTGTAAGGGGCACTCAATACTAGAGAGGAGCTAAAAGGCCAATTTCAGTGATTTTAACATCAAAAAATGGAAATTTCCTTTCTGTCATAGGCTTCAAAATAATTGCTGACCCTTTACTGCTGCAAGTTCGTCCCGGGGTCAAGGTCTTGAAGGACACCATAGCCATGGATTGCCATAGCGTTCTGAGATGGTGGTCAGGGTTGGAAGCCTAGGCGTCTCTTAGTGCGGGTTTTATTTTAATGAATTTGAAGGCCCAAGGTCTGCCCCAGAACCATGCGGCATTCTACACCACAGCTGGACCACTGCCTTGACCAGGGAAGGAGCTACAAGAGGGAGCTGGTCACCTACACAATTTATAAGGGCACTTATTGGAGAGGAGCTAAAGGTTTAAATTGGCCAATTTCAGTGATTTTAACATCAAAAAAATGGAAATTTCCTTTCATTGGCTTCAAAATAATTCATTGCTGACCCTTTACTGCTGCAAGTTGGTCCCAGGGACAGGGTCTTGGAAGACACCATTGGATTTCCATAGCGTTCTGAGATGGTGGTCAGGGTTGGAAGTCTAGGCGTCTCTTAGAGCGGGTTTTATTTTAATGAATTTGAAGGCCCAAGGTCTGTCCCAGAACCATGCAGCATTCTACACCGCAGCTGGACCACCGCCTTGACCAGGGAAGGAGCTACAAGAGGGAACTGGTCACCTATTCATAGTTTGTAAGGGGCACTCAATACTAGAGAGGAGCTAAAAGGGTTTAATTTGCCAATTTCAGTGATTTTAACATTCAAAAATGTTAATTTTCTGTCATTGGCTTCATATAATTAGTTGCAGTCCCTTAACTGCTGAAAGTTCATCTCAGGGTCAACCACTCAGAAGACACCAAAGCCATGGATTGCCATAGTATTCTGGGTTGGCGGCCTAGGCTTCTTTCAACCAGGGTTTCAATTTCACAAATATGATGGCCCAAGGTGCATCCCAGAACCATGCAGTCTTCTCCGCCATGACCAGGCCACCGCCTTGACCAGCGACCAGCATGCTAGCCCAGGGGGACTATAACATGGGAAGGACGGACAATGAGGAATGCAGTTGGAGAAAAGAGAGGAATGATAAAAGGAGAGCAGAACTGAGGAAGCCTTAGATAAATGAAGTGAAGATGCATGAAAGGGGGGGGCGAGTGATTGAAGATGGGGGAAGATGGATGGACAGAAGGGGGTTGGATGGATTAGACAAGTTGTGAAGATGGATGCCGCCTGCGGGATTCATTACCCTGGATGTTTTCTGGGTGTTTATGCAGCTGACACAGACTAAGGAGCGGGAAATAAATGGCATCTTGCTCTTTCGGAAAAGGCTCTGAAGGTGCCCCGTGTTGCCAGCACCCCCCCCCCCCCCCCATTCACCCGTTGTCAGAGGGTTATTAATGGCCTTCTTCCACCCTCTTGACAGCCTGGCCAAATGAAGAGCATATCCGTCCTCAGGCCCCGTGCAAGGACTGCTCAAGGAGACCATGTTGACTTATGACCTTGGGCGCCAACAGCACTAACAAGTAAAGATCCCGTGTTGTTTCCCATAGTAACCGACCTAACAACCGCTCTCCATGTTTCCAGTAGAGCTCAGGACGACTGACGGTAGACATTAAGGGGTTTATTTACTAAAGCTGGAGAGTCCAAAATCAGACTCCCTTCTGCATAGAAACCAATCAGCTTCCAGGTTTCATTGCCAAAGCTTCATTGAACAAGCTGAGGTTAGAAGCTGATTGGTTTCTATGCAGAAGGGAGTCTGATTTTGGACTCTCCAGCTTTAGTAAATAAACCCCTAAAGGTCCTATTTTCTTCTACCCTTTTGTCAGCATGGCCAACGAAGAACATATCTGTCCTCAGGCCTAGTCCCATGCAAGGACTGCAACCAATCGAAAAAAACAGCTTTCCATGTTTCCAGTGGCCTACAGGACCATTGACAGAAGATGTGAACAGTCCAATCTTCCTCCACCCTCTTGACAATCTGGCCAAATGAAGAGCAACTCTGTCCATGGGGGCCAAGCCCCGTGCAGGGACTACTCAAGGACTCTTGGGTTCCAACAGGGGGAAAAGCCTTTCTTGTTGCCCATAGCAACCAATTCAAAAACTGCTCTCCATTGGAGTACAGGACCATACAGGGCAGACATTAAAAGTCCTATCTTCTTCCATCGTCATGACAATATGGCCAAATGAAGAGCATATCCATCCCTGGGCCAGAATGGGTCTACGTTGGGCTACGTTGAAGGTCATGTGGACGTATAACAGCACCAATTAGATCCATTGTTGTTGCCCATAACAACCAATTAAAAAATTGCTCTTCATGTTTCCAGTGGAGTACAGAACCATTGACGGCAGGCGGTAAAAGTCCTATCTCTTTATTGGTCCCATCCACAAAAACCAAGGCAGCGGTTGAGCTAAGGCAACTGTGGCCAGTTGCTTGGGGCATCGGGTTGTAATTGACCTCTGGGGTTCACAAATTAACCCCAATGGGCAAGTGTCTGAGGAAAGCACACTTTCCACTCTTTATCTTTCATTGCATTACAGATATGGGCTGGTTGGGCGCAAGAACGATTCCTGGTGGTTGGGCGCAAGAACAATTCCTGCTGGTTGGGCGCAAGAACGATTCATGCTGGTTGGGCGCAAGAACGATTCATGCTGGTTGGGCGCAAGAACGATTCCTGCTGGTTGGGCACAAGAACAATTCTTGCTGGTTGGGCGCAAGAACGATTCCTGCTGGTTGGGCACAAGAACGATTAATGCTGGTTGGGCACAAGAACAATTCCTGCTGGTTGGGCGCAAGAACGATTCCTGCGGGTTGGGTGCAAG